ACGGACATCCCTAGATCGACTCCAAATGTCCTGAAACAAATTTGGTGCAAAGAGACCTAAGGTCTAAAACCGTTACATATTTCTTTAATAAATAAAAGAGCAGCTTTCCACCATTTTGAAGGATCTTGAAAATTTTCAAAAAAAAAAATCCGTCGAAAATACTGCTTAAATGACAGCCGTTACATGGGGGCTATACAAAGACGTAAACCTGCATAGGCTATAGTAGCGATTCCAACTTTCAAATACGACATTTAAAACAATTCAGTGAAATAATGTCGCTAATATCATGAAAAAAATCGATTAAAGGGGGTACCATTATATGGGAGATATACGATATAGTGGACCTATATACATAGACAATTCTTTACCAGGGTAAGGTATTCAGAAAGAACACCTGGTGTTGTTTTTCAGACAATTCTATTGAAAAATTTGACAAAAATCATGAAAATACTGAATAACGTTACATGGGGGATATACGATATCGTGGACCCATATAGACAATTCTCTTACAAGGTGTAAAGTATTCAGAAGGAACTCCTCGCGTAGAATTTCAGTCAATTCCATTGGAAAATGTGACTAAAGCCATCAAAATATCGAATATCGGGGAGGGTACCGTTATAAGGTACCCTCCCCGATACGCATTCCTGGGCCGATATAGTCCATCTTCGAACTTTACCTACCTGCACGCAAAATAGATTTTTTATTTTAATTTTTTTATTTTAAAAACTTTTGTAATTTTTCAGGGCTTTAATTTTTTGAAGGCACAGACAGATCTATCCAAAGTTTTAGCCTCCTATCTTAATTTGTTTTGAAGTTAGTGTGTTTACAAGGATATGCAGACGGACGAACGCGCATGGCTTAATCGTCTTAGATTTTAACGCTGATCAAGAATATATATACTTTATTGGGTCTAAAATGATTATTTCGATGAGTAACAAACTGAATGGCGAACTTAATATACCCTCCATATGGTGTAGGGGAATAAAAATATATCTGGGTGCTTAAAAAAATTGCTATAATTGGAATTACTTCTAGAGACTTTCCATTGTTGCAAAATCATCTAGAGGTCTTTTAGATATGGTCTACTCTCCAGATACCATTAATTGTTAGAAGACCATTTAAAGATTGTCAGAAGTAAGTGGACCTTTTACAGGTCTTGCTTCCAAAGGTCGTCCATGCAGCTAAAATTTCTACCTCGAAGAAGGGGACTACAAGTTTCGTTCCAAACCCATTTGCTGCCGTTTTATCTCTTTCCGCTTTTGGCTCTGCGCAAGATTTGACCTAGTTCCATGATAGTGAGCTTGTAACTGAACTGAGGTATGAACAAATATTTAGCAATCCAGCCACCACCAACAACAACAACATATTTCGATGCAATTCCAAAATATGTGCCACCGCCACCATGCTGCTGCTGCCGCTGCTGGCGTTGCCACTATCAAAGCCATGTTGCGCCTGCGCAACAAGTACTTGAAAGCAAAAAATAAACATTTTTCGCTTTTTATTGTTTTTTAAGACAACAAACAACAACAACAACAACAAAGAATAATATCAAAACACATGGGGGTATGTGCGTTGAAGCATGGCACGCTGCGCTTCACTGACTGACAGACAGTCTAACTAAATGGCCAGGTTGTTCGGCTGGCTAGCTGGCTGACTAACTGGCATATTATCAACTGGTCCAACAGGTTAACCCGCATGTTCATAACTATTATTGTTGTTCAGTATTTCTTCTTCTTCTTTGTTTTGTTCCCTCTTTCTCCATATTTTTGCAGCCAATTTTTACGATATTCTGAGATCAAGCTCAAATCACTTTCAGTTTTTGTATGACGGCGTGCCGCCGTCGGGGCTTGTTAAATCAATTCGAAAATTGACACAATTTTGAAAGAATTTTTAATTTATTCTTTTTATGGAACCCGTTTTGTTTTGTGGCCTGGATTTGAAATGAATGCGAACGAATTAATTGGAAAAAGTTTTGGAAAAGAAATTAAAATATTTAATTTCATTGGTTGTGATTAAGAATACAAAAATATGGGATAAAATCGGGTTTGTTCTAAAGTGTTAATACCTTTTAAAGTGGTGTGAATTTAAATATCTGTTGCTCTGAATTGAAAATGAATACGTTTTTTTTTAAATTCAATCAACGGGAATGCAATTATTATTCAACCTGGATTGAAAAAAAAATCAGTTTCGAATACCAAAATAACGTTTTGTGTTACATATTCTTATTGGAAATATTTGTCTAGCACAATGGTTGAGGTTATGAAAAAATTTCCAAAATATGGGACATACAGGGTGAGATTAAAAAAAAACATTCTTTTTTTTAATTTTATTGAATAAAAGTAAAAATGTCGGAAATAGCATCAAATTTTAGAAAAACTTTAGATTTCTTCGAAATGGTCATCTTTGGCACAAATTATGGCCTTCAAACGGCCAATGAAACTGTCACACGCCGACCGAATGTTGCTCTGCGGTATTTTGGCCCGTTCCCGGCGAAGCGCTTGCTTGAGTTGATTAACACTTTGGTATTTTTTAGTGCCAACCTTCCTTGCCAAAATACTCCAGACACAATAGTGCAACGGATTGGTATCCGGAGATTTTGGTTGGCATTGTGCGCTGGAAATAAAGCGAGGGACCTCCTTTTGTAACTATTCTTGGGTGGCGCGTTCTGAGTGCGATGATGCGGAGTCCCGTTGCAATGTCCAAGGTCTGCGTTCAAAATGTTTGCGTGCCGAATATTTTTGGGATAATATTAAGCGTTTATTCTGATGCCACGGTCGATTAATACGAGCGGAGAACGACCATCGGCTATTATGGCAGCCCACACCATCACCATGGGCGGCGCCTGAGTTCTAGTGGCCAACCGAAGGTGCCTCTTTGGCAAGTAAACACGATCATTTTGTATGTATACAAACTGCTGGACAACGAATGTTTTCTCATCGGAGACGGGGAAAACCAAATTCGCCAGTTCACCACTTTCGGCCAAGCGAAGCAGCTCTTTTGAGTCTATTTTCTATCTGTTGCGGTGTAAGTTCTTGCACTTTTTGGAATTTCAATGGATTTCCCCGAGCTCAATTTTCAATATTTGCCGAATGGAATATTGCGATATGTTCACCTCACGAGCCAGTTTTCGACCACTGCGATGCGTGTTTCGATTAAGTCACTTCTTTACTTTTCGAACCATTCCTACTGATTTGCTGTTTTCTTCCATCCAATTCCTTGACGTCGGGCTACGCTACCAGTAACCAATCACGGTAACGAGCGATAGTGCGAGACACAAAAGATTTATTCACATTTAAATGCTGAAGTGCTCTAACGATAGCCACTTGTGGGCTTCCAGCCAAATATAAAGGAATCACACTATCACGCTTGAATTCCATCACGAATAACTTTTTTTCTGGAAAATTCTCACCAAAATGATTTTGTACGCCTGTAAACAATATAATGAGCTGTCACTGGAATAATTCTAACAACTGTCGGACGAGTGACTTTAAAATGACAGCAGTCTGAAATTGGTTGCAGTTTTTTACATCTCACCCTCTATAGTTTAATCCGAGATTTATAGTGAAATTTGAATATAGAATATTTCCTCCTTCGGCACTAGCTGCCTAAAATAAAGATTTATGCTACTTTCAGGTGTCCACTCGAAAAAAGGCCGAAGAAAAATCGATCAAAAAATTAGGTAATATTTTCGGGTCCTTTTTTTGCAACATTGATGGAATTATTTTCTTGTTATATGATGAAAATATAAATACCTTCTCTTCGGTGACCTATAGTGAAATTACATAAATAATGCCACGGTTTTAAGCCTAAAATTTGTTTTTATACCCTCCACCGTACATGGTATGGGAGTAATATTAAGTTCCTCATTCCGTTGGTAACTCATCGAAATAATAATTTTAGACCTAGCAAAATATATATATTCATGATCATCGTACAATTCTAAGGCGATTTAGCCCTGTCTGTCCGTCTGTCTGTCTGTCTGCCTGTTGTAATCCCGCTAGAGTTAAAACGTATTAAGAATTATATCGGTCCACGATATTGTATAGCCCCCATATAACGGTACCCTGATAATCCGTATGGTCTGAAATTCTACACAAGGAATTCTTTACCCTCTAGAAGAAAATTGTCTATGTAGATCCACTATATCGTATGCACCCCATAAAACTATACCCTCAGATATTCGGTGTTTTGATGATTATAGCCACATTTCTTAATGGAATTTTCTGAAATTCTACACAAGGAGTTCCTTTTGAGTATTTTACCGCCTGGAGGAGAATTGTCTTTATAGGTCCACGATATCGTATATCCCCCATATAACGATACCTTCCGTTATTCGGTATTTAGATGATTATAGCTAATTTTTTCAATAGAATTGTCTGAAAATCCACACAAGGATCTCCATCTGAGTATTTTTCCCCTCTTTGGAGGAGAATTGTCCACGATATCATATATCCCCCATAGCGTTCAGCTTAGTCTTGGAGTTCCGATGTATTCCGAGACCTACAGTAGCTATAGTAGTAGTTATGACAAAAACTTTTGTAGAATTTTTTGACTTGAAAAAAAGAAGCAAAAAAAACCTAAAATGAAAGGATTTCAAGAAATCGTAATCCTAATATTTTACAAAAAGTGGAAAAGACGTCCTTGCCCCCACCCCTCACATAACGAGAATACTCACGAAATATCATTAAATTCCCTTGGTAAAGATTTTATTTGTTTGTTTTTTTTTTTTTTTTTCAATTTAAAATTCAATTGTTAAATTTAATTCTAGAAGCTATTGCACTCATGTTTCGCACTCACCAAAACCAACAATTGTAACAAATTAGGAAATAACACAAAAAAAAAAAAAAACAGAAGAACAGAAAACCCAGTTCTCCAAGGTTGTTCCGTTCTTTTATTAGTATGTCTTTTAGCCCATTCATGTGTTAATTGTATTCTTAATGAATTAATTGAAAACTTTGTTGAATTCTTAATAACTTTTTGTATTTCATTATTTTTTTCAGTACTACTGCCAACAGACACACGCAGACAGGCAAAGTCCAACACAAAATGAGAGCGAAACCAAAATTAGAATTCGAAAAGGATGGAGGATTTGTTAAAATCGAATCCTACGATGAGAATGAAGTCGATCGCATTGCCGAGTGTTATGCGGGGCGTACGTTTTTCATAACCGGTGGCACCGGTTTCATGGGCAAGGTGTTGATTGAAAAGCTCTTGAGGTAGGTGGGCATTAGCATTGTTTATCTTTACAAATTAGTAATTTTATTATTCTCTCTCTCCCTCTCTCTCTCTCTCTCTCTCTTATGGCAACTTATTTTAGGTCATGTGGAGATTTAAAGAAAATTTATCTTTTGATTAGACCAAAGAAAGGCAAGGAGCCAATCGAACGCATCACACAGATGTTGGATAATGTGGTAAGTGTGTGTGTGTGTCTGTGTCTGTGTGCGCAAAGAGTATTTTACGTATTAGTAATGTTAATTTTTAAATTAATTATACGCACACGTGTTTCAGAATTATTATGTGCAGAATTATGGGGGATATTAGTGTCTCGGATTACAAATGAAGTTAAATAGCATAAATACATGTTGTCAAAACTATTTATTAACTGAATGTATTGCGAATTATCTTGTATACCTCTGTGCATTGGACAAACACATGTACATAAGTTATTGTAACACATTGCAGGATATCTTCTTTGGAGTAGGAAAGATCATTATTTTAAAAGTGCTGTGATAGTCCCTAAAATAATATTCGTTGAAAATTCCACTTCATCATCGCTTTGAATATCCTTGAAAAAAAATATTTTTCAAAAATCCGCAATTTTAATCATTAAAAAATATTTTTAAAAAACTTTAAATAATATTCCTTAAAAAATGCCATGTAAAATCTACAATAAATTCCTAAAAAAAAAATATTATTTAAAAAATTTGCAATTATAGTTTTGAATTATATGAATATAAATTCTGAAAAAATCCTAGCAAAAATATTCCATTAAAGTTATCCATTATAGCTTTGATAGTCCTTTAAAATAGTATTTGAAAATTATAGCTGAGGAAGTCCACGAAGAAATAGTCTTTAATAATATAGCTCTGATAGCCCACGCTTAAAGCTCTTATAATTATTGAAAAAAGTCTTAAAAATTCACGACTAGGTAGTCCTTTAAAAATATACGCTACGAGCTCCGGCAGTCCTTAAAAAAATCTTTAAAAATCCGTACTTGGAGCTCTGGTAGTTTCTGGAAAAAAAAACTTAAAAAAATCTAGGATTAGAGCTCTGGTAATTCTTGAAAAAAAAAATCTTTAAAAATACAAGCTAGGAACTCTGGTAGTCCATACAAAAAAAATTAAAAAAAAAAATCCAAGCCTAGTTATCCAAGCCTTTGTTAGTCCTTTAAAATAGTCTTTGAAAATTATAGCTGAGGAAGTCCATGAAAAAATAGTCTTTAATAATATAGATCTGATAGTCCACGCTTAAAGCCCTTATAATTATTGGAAAAAATCTTAAAAAATTCACGACTAAAGCTCTGGTAGTTCTTGAGAAAAAAATTCTTTAAAAATAAAAGCTTGGAGGACCGGTAGTCCTTTAAAAATCCGTACTTGGAACTCTGATAGTCCTAGAAAAAAGTCTTTAAAAACACAAGCTATGAGCTCTGATAGTCCTTGAAAAAATTCTTAAAAAATTCAAGCTTGGAGCTCTTGTAGTCCTTGAAAAAAATAAAAATTCAAGTCTAGAGCTTTGGTGGTCCTTAAAAAGAAAATAAAAATCCAACTTACAACTCTGATAGTCTTTAAAAAAAATTCTTAAAAAATCCATTTTTATAGTTCCTGAAGTCCTTCAAAATATTATTTAAAAAATCCACGTCTTCAGCTATATTAGTCCTCGAAAAAATTCTTTAAAAAAAAACAATATCTCTTTGGGATAGTCCTTGAAAAAATTCTGTGAAAAACCGAGACTTAATTTTGGGATAGTCCTTGAATAAAAATTCTTTAAAAAATCCAGACCTAATTTTCGGATAGTCCTTGAAAAATAGTTCTTTAAAAAATCCAGGAATATTTTTGGAATAGTCCTTAAAAAAATTAAAAAAATCCACGTTTATTTTTGGGATAGTCCTTGAAAAAACTCTTGAATAAAAATTCTTTCAAAAATCCACGCTTACTATCGAGATAGTCCTTGATTCTTTTAATAATCCAAACTTATTTTTGGGAAGGACTTAAAATTTTTTTTTTTTTAAATTCAAGTTTATTTTTCTGATAGTCCTTAGAAGAAATTCTTTAAAAATTAAAATTTATTTTTGGGATAGTCCTTGAAAAAAATCTATACAAAATCTAGGCTTAAATTTGGGATAGTCCTTGAAAAAAATTCTATAAGAAATCTAGGCTTACATTTGGGATAGTCCTTGAATAAAAATTCTTTAACAAATCCAGACTTAATTTTGAGATAGTTCTTAAATAAAAGTTCTTTAAAAAATCCAGGCTTATTTTTGGGATAGTTCTTGAATTTTTTTTTTTTAAAATCAAGAGGCATTGTTGTGGGATTGTCCTTAAAAAATCTTTAAAAAATCCACGCTTATTTTTGGGATAGTCCTTAAAAAATCTTAAAAAAATCCACGCTTATTTTTGGAATAGTCCTTAAAAAATCTTTAAAAAATCCACGCTTATTTTTGGGATAGTCCTTAAAAAATCTTTAAAAAATCCACGCTTATTTTTGGAATAGTCCTTAAAAAATCTTTAAAAAATCCACGCTTATTTTTGGGATAGTCCTTAAAAAATCTTTAAAAAATCCACGCTTATTTTTGGGATAGTCCTTAAAACATCTTTACAAAATCCACGCTTATTTTTGGGATAATCCTTGAAAAAGACTCTTGAATAAAATCCATGCTTATAGATTAGATAGTCCTTGAAAAAAATATAAAAAAATCTACGCCTCTGATTCTGATTGTCCTTAATATCAATCAATAAATACATTACATTGTCCTTTCTTTCAGCTATTCGACAAACTAAAAGAACTGCGTAGCTTGGACTGGATACTAACTAAACTTGAGGCCATACCTGGCGATGTGATGCTACCGAAACTGGGCATCTCGCATGAGGATGCCGAAAAGCTGCGCAACGAGGTTAGTGTGATAATGCACTGTGCCGCCACAGTAAGGTAAGTTCTAATTCACCGCCATCTTTCACAATCGATATAATAACATGCTCCTCCTCCCCACGCCGTAGATTTGATGAACCTTTGCGTCGTGCCGTCTTAATGAATGTCCGTGGCACCAAATATATGCTCGAACTGGCAACCACATTTAAAAAGCTTGACGCATTCTGTCATGTCTCCACGGCCTATTGCCATTTGCATGTCAAGACCCTTTACGAGAAACCGTATGACCCGCCAGCCGATCCCCATTCCGTTTTGAGCGTCTGTGAGTGGTTGAGTGATGACGATATCAATGCTCTGCAAAAGAGGATTTTGGGTGACATACCGAACACCTATGCCTACACCAAATCCCTGGCCGAGGCATTGGTGGCAGAGACGTTTGACAAGTTGCCGACCTGTATCCTCCGACCATCGATTGTCATACCCATTTGGCGTGAACCGGTGCCCGGTTGGACGGACAACATAAATGGACCGACCGGTCTGCTAATCGGAGCCGGTAAAGGTGTCATCCGCACCATGTATTGTCAGGAGAGTGGTTATGGTGATTTCCTGCCCGTCGATATAGCGGTGAATGCCATGCTCGTTGCTACCTGGCGTTTCTTGACACCCGAATATGGCCTGAAAGAGAATCGTGTAGCCCACATGACCAGCTCGAATGAAATCAAGGTCACGTGGTCGGAAATTATTGAAATTGGTCGTTGGGTTATTGAAAATCGTGTACCTCTGAATGGTGTGGCATGGTATCCGGGTGGTTCGATGAAATCAAATTACATTCATCATTGGATATGTCTGATCTTGTTCCATTGGATACCGGCATTGTTGGTGGACTTCTTGTTGGTATTGCTTCGCTATCCGCCGGTGTAAGTAAAAGAAAAGAGACAGAGAGGACTTGCTGATCGATAGAATACCTTGAGAGTATCTTCCAGAGATAGAAGACCACCAAATCTCGAAGGCCTCCAAGAGGCCCTCTATAGATAATAGGCCTCCAAGAGGTCTTCTACAGATATAAGGCTTGCAAGAGTTTTTTTTATAGATAAAGGATTCTCCAACCTCCAAGAGGTCTTCTATAGACAGAAGGCCTAAAAGAGGTCTTATATACATAAGAGGCCTCCAAGAGGTCTTCTATAGATAGAAGGCCTCCAAGAGCTCTTCTAAAGATAGGAGGCCTCCAAGAGGTCTTCTAAAGATAGGAGGCATCCAAGAGGTCTTCTATTGACTGAAGGTATCCTAGAGAAATGAGACCTCCAAGAGGTCTTCTATAGATAGAAGGCCTTTAAGAGGTCTACTAGAGATAGAAAGGCGCCAAGTGGTCTACATAGATAGAAGGCCTCCAAGATTGACTGAAGGTCTCCTAGAGAAAGAAGACCTGCAAGAGGTATTCTTTAAATAGAAGGCCTCCAAGGGGTCTTCTATTGACTGAAGGTCTCCTAGAAAAGAAAACCTCCAAGAGGTTTTCTAAAGATAGAAGGCCTCCAAGAGCTCTTCTAAAGATAGGAGGCCTCCAAGAAGTCTTCTATAGATAGAAGGCCTCCAAGAGCTCTTCTAAAAATAGGAGGCCTCCAAGAGGTCTTCTAAAGATAGGAGGCATCCAAGAGGTCTTCTATTGACTGAAGGTATCCTAGAGAAAGGAGACCTCCAAGAGGTCTTCTATAGATAGAAGGCCTCCAAGAGGTCTACTAGAGATAGAAAGGCGCCAAGAGGTCTACATAGATAGAAGGCCTCCTAGAGGTCTCCTAAAGATATAAGGCCTCCAATAGGTCTTCCTTACATAGAAGGCATCCAAGGGGCCTTCTAGAAGTCTTTTATAGATATAAGGCCTTCAAGATATTTTCTATAGATAGATGGCTTCCAATAGGTATTCTGTCGGTAAAAGTCCTCCAATAGGTTTTTTATAGAAAGAAGACCTCCAAGAGGTCTTCTAAGGAAAGAAGGCCTCCTAGAGGTCTTCTATAGATAAAATGCATATAATAGGTAATCTATAGAAAGAAGTTCTCCAAGAGATCTCCTCTTGAGAGTCTTTTGCCTATAGAGGACATCTTTATGACATTTTCAAGGTGCTCAGAGTCCTGAAAACTTTTACTAATTGTCTGTTATTTGCTTTTACCTTTCGCAGTTTAATACGGGTCCAAAAACGCATTCAGAACGGTTTCTCCGTTTTCGAATATTATGCCAATAACGTTTGGAATTTCGACAATCAGGAGGCGATAAAACTACGGCAGATTATGAACAATCGAGAACGGATGACGTATTGTATTGAAAAGATGGAAGTCGATTTGTATGAATATTTCACCAATTGTCTGCTGTGTGCTCGTCGTCTGATACTCAAGGAGACCGATGACACAATTCCAGCTGCCAAGAGGCATATGAGAGTGTAAGTTGATTGTTGGATTTACTCAGAGCCATGGCAATTAATTTCTCTCTCACTCTCTCTCTCTCTCTATGTTTTCAGGATGTGGTGGGTGGACAAGATCTTCAAATATACCTGCTATTTCGGTATTTGCTATTTTATTTACCGGAAATTTATAGCTGACTTCCTTTTTGGTAGCTCCACATAGTCCCAACTGAATGGAATTGAAAAATATATTTCCCTGTTTAGTATATCTTTTTTTATTATCATTTTCCCAATGTGAAGAAGTAATAATAAATTGTTTGTAATATAAGTTATTTTGCTATTGTTTATTGTTGTTTTACATAAATGTTAAATATAAGCAAATTTTTTTGTTTAATATTAGTAATAAACAATTTTGTAATGGAGTAATAATTAAAAACAAACATTTAAACTAATAACAGTTACGTTTTCCATTTAATACCCAGACAAAAATATTTCGAGGCTTCATTTTTCAAAATTGTTCATTTTTATACCCTCCACCATATATTCATTTTGTCATTCTCATTTTGACGAACTCATCGAAATAATGATCTTAGCCCCAACAAAGTATATATATTCTTGATCAGCGGAAAATTCTAAGACGATGTCCGTCTGTCCGCTATCTTTCGAACGAATTGAGATAGAAGGCTACAATTTTGCACACATGTCTATTTTGCCAGTAGGCACGTTAAGTTCGTAAATGGTCCTTGTAGGTCCACGTTTCCATATAGCCCCCATATAACGGTACCTCCCGATATTCGGTGTTTTTATGATTTTAGCGACATTATTCACCGGAATTGTTTCATATTTGGCATTTGAAGTTCGAAAAGGATACTACAGCCACGTCTTCGTATAGCCCCCATATAACGGTACCTCCCCGTATGCGGTATTTTGATAATTTTAGCGACATTATTCACCGGAATTGTTTCATATTTGGCATTTGAAGTTCGAAATGGATACTACAGCCTATGGCAGAAAATTGTCTATACAGGTCCACGTCTTCGTATAGCCCCCATATAACTGTACCTCCCGATATTCGGTATTTTGATGATTTTAGCGACATTATTTACCGGAATTGTTTCAATTTTGATATTTGAAGTTCGTAATGGATACTACATTTTAAGACAGAAAATGAGCCATGTAGGTCCACGTCTTCGTATAGCCCCCATATAACGATTTTAGAGACATTATTTACCGGAACTATTACAAATTTTATATTTGATGTTCGTAATGAATACTACAGCCTATGACAGAAAATTGTCTGTGCAGGTCCACGTCTTCGCACAGCCCCCATATAACGGTACCCCCGTTTTATAACCCCCATGATACCCTGTATTCGGTATTTTGATGATTTTAGCTACATTGCGAGCAGATTTTTTTTTTGTTTTTGAAGTTTCGCATTTGAATATTATAATGGCTTGTGACAAAAGTTGCCTATGCAGATCCAAGTCGTTGTGTAGCACCTAATATAAGGCTACATTCGGTATTTTCAAGATTTTAACAGAATTTTTAGCGGATTTTATTTTTTTATAAATTGTTAAATTTGTACCAAATGGTGGAGGGTATTCAAAGTTCGGCCCGGCCGAACTTACAGCTTTTTTACTTGTTGGTACTAGAAAGTTTGATTTCTAAAAACCCATCATCCAAGCTAATCATTATCAAACCCACATCCAAGCTTAGAATACTATTTGCTACCAGTTACACATTTTCCGTATTGAAAATATATGTACAGTAAGTAAAAGTTGTTGTAGTATTTAGTACCTTTGAGTACTTTTGTACCTTTATTGTAGGACAATTCAAATTACGAATATTTACAGTACAATTATTCTTAAATGTATGTTCACACCCACATTATGGACCTCAAAAGGCAGTGAGTATTTGAAAAGATTCACAAATTTTAACCGGGAAGTCTTTGAAAAATGTTTTTAATAAAAAAAATAGACAATTGCCAGGAAGTAGTAAGAATTCAGAATTAAGAATTTATATAAGAATACCATTTTTATACCCTACAACTCCATGTGGGAATATTATAATTTTGATTGGGCCAAAAATTATGTAACACCTCGAAATATTGGTTTCACACATAGGAAAGTATATATGGATCTTCCTATCTCGCCGAGCTGAGTCGATCTAGCTATGTATGTCCGTCCGTCCGTCTGGCCCGATCTTCAATAAATTTAGAATGGAGGTCTATCTCCTATTGCTTTTGGAGATGATCGCATGATATTTAGGGGATGAAATGGACCAAAAACTGAAAAATTTCCGGATTTTACACTTGCTCTACAGGTCGCAATTATAGACCAATCGAAGGGAAAATTAGTATGTGGCTATAGCTTATGGCTGGGCAGAAGCCTTCCAATTTTGATGGTCATCGGGTTATATTTAGTGGGTGAAATAGATCATAACATTTGTGTTAAATAAAAATCAAATTTTCCATTAAACCGCGAATATTTTTAATCCCGGTGAAAACACAAATAGACGAACAGGTCAATTCTGACCGTTACATAGATGCCAATAGTAAATATATCGAATATATATAGCGAAATATATACAATGTATATATACAAAGGAAAGGGATGTTAGCCGGAATGCCCTTTTGTCATAAAAGTATAAAATCTACAAAAATCGCTTAAAAAGATGCCAATAATGATGTTAATAAAGATTTTGTAGTATTTTGTGACAATTTTTTATTTTTTCAATTTGACTTATAATATTGAAGTGTATATTTTGTAATATTTTTTCAACTTACAATACAGGTTGGGGTATAATATGCAATTATCGTTCGATCCTCACGAATTTTTTTTTTACAAGGGCTAGGCCTATTGTTTTCAAAGATGTCCGCAATATATTAAGAGATGTACCAACAACTAAAAATGTAAAATGGATTTTCGAATTCTAACATATTGAAGTGTTGAAGGGTATCACACGGTCGGCCCCGCACGGCTATAGCCTTTTCTTACTTGTTTTAAATACTCGTTTTTGGCAAAGAAATTTGAAAAAAATATTTCTAAAAAATCCACGAATTCCTTGAAATCCATTAAAAAAAATGTTGCGATAAAATTCGTCATTTATTCTGATGCCACGGTCGATTAATGCGAGCAAAGAGCGACCACCATCATCATGGCCGGCGCTTGAGTTCTACTGGCCAAGCGAAGGTGTACATTCTCAGCTGACCTCTTAGGCAAGTAAACGCGAACATTTTGTTTGTTTACAAACTGCTGGCCAACGAATATTCGACAGTTCACCACTTTCGGCCAAGCTAAGCAACTCTTTAGCTCTTTTGAGTCTATTCTCTTTCTGTTGCGGTGTTAGTTCTTGCACTTTTTGCAAATTCAATGGCTTTACCCCGAGCTCATTTTTAAATATTTGCCGAATAGACTATATATAAATTTGATCTTCACACCATACCTGTTAATACAAAAATTGTGATTTGTGTAATTTGAAGACAATGGGACTTCCATGTCACATTTTATGGGAGTTATAATTATTTAAAATGTTAAGCCTTTGTGGGGGAGGATTTGATGGAGTGGGCCGATGTTGTCTATGTTCGCATCTGACCTTGCACTGATGCAAATACTAGGATTTGCAAAATTGCAGTCAAATCGGATTATCCTTTATATTTTTGTGCAGTAAAGCAATATTTTGAAAATTTTGACCTTTTGCGGGGAAGGTACACGAAAGAGGGGACCAATAATGCCCATCTCCGAACTCATTTGAAAATAATCTTACCATGTACAAAGTTTAGATCCAAATCGGATACACCCTTCGAGAGTTATCGTGACACCAGCCAGTCAGACGGACGAACAGGCATAGTTAGATCGACTGGAAATGGCCGTGAGGGTATAAAAATATAGATAAAAGATTCCAGGATTTTTTGTCATGATGTCCTTGAAATACAAATCACCATAGTATGAAGGATATATTAAGTTTGTCATTCCGTTTGTAACATCTCGAAATATACATTTTAGACCCCACATAGTATATATATTCTTGATCAGCATAACATTCTATGTCGATTTAGACGGACCGTCTGTCCGTCTGTGGAAATCACTCTAGCTTCCGAACAAAATGAAGTAGGTTGATAAAATTTTACTTAAATATGTATTAGTCTGCAAGATTTTTGGTATTGAAAATGGAACTTGTAGGTCCACGTCTTCGTATAGCCCCCATATAACGGTACCTCCCGATATTCGGTATTTTGTAATTTTAGCGACATTATTTACCGGAATTATTTCAAATTTGGTATTTGAAGTTCGTAATGAATACTACAGCCTATGACAGAAAATTGTCTGTGCAGATCCACGTCTTCGTATAGCCCCCATATAACGGTAACCCCGGATATTCGATATTTTGATGATTTTAGCGACATTATTTACCGGAATTAATTTAAATTTCGTATTTGAAGTTCGTAATAGATACTACATCCTAAGACCAAAAATGAGCCATGTAGGTCCACGTCGTCGTATAGCCCCCATATAACGGTACCTCCCGATATTCGGTATTTTGTAATTTTAGCGACATTATTTACCGGAATTATTTCAAATTTAGTATTTGAAGTTCGTAACGAATACTACAGCCTATGACAGAAAATTGTCTGTACAAGTCCACGTCTTCGTATAGCCCCCATATAACGGTACCCCCTGATATTCGGTATTTTGATGATTTTAGCGACATTATTTACCGGAATTATTTCAAATTTTGTATTTGATATGGATACTACAGCCTATGACAGAAAATCTTCTTGGCAGGTCCATTTATAACCCCCATGATACCTCCCTATATTAGGTATTTTGCTGATTTTAGCTACATTATAAACAGCTTTTTAGCTTGTGACAAAAGTTGCCTATGCAGGTCCAGTCGTCGTATATACTCTAATATACGGCTACATTCAGTATTTTTAAGAATTTACAAGAATTTTTAACAGATTTTTTTTTTTTGGTGGAGGGTATTCAACTTACAGCTTTTTTACTTGTTATATTTAACAATGTTTGAGTAAGAAATTTTAAAAGTGATACCAAAATATTCACAATTTTCACAATTTTTGGTTTAAAAAGGTTTCTTTAAAATTCAATATTTTTTGTAAGAAATCTTAAAAATATTCCATGATTCTGGGTCAGAAAGTCCTAAACATTTGGCTGGAAAAATTTTAAAAATAGCCAGGTTATTTTGACATATGCTCCTTGATTTTCATACCCTACAACACTATATGTTGGCGGTATTATAAGTTTGATTCCTAGCCATAGGAAACCATATATGGATCTTTCTATCTCGTCAAGCTCAGTCGATCTAGACATAT